GCCCAGGGGAGTGATCCTTATATGTATATTCTCATCCCTACTTAGCACGAGGCCTTTTGGGAGCTCACTGGCTTCGGGTTCCATGGGAACTCCGAAGTTAAGTGAGTAGTGCGCGAGAGCATTCCCAGGATGGGTGACCCATTGGGAAGTTCTCGTGTGAGTTCCCAAAAACAAAACCGTGAGGGCGTGGTCGGGGCCCAAAGCGGACAATATCGTGCTACGGTGGTGGAGCGGGCCTGGGAAGTGGTTCCCCTCAGGCCGGGATGTGACATGCTCACCTTAAGTGAAATTACAATTATCAATCACAAGAAGCTCTCCTCTGTTTCAGAGTGAAGTTCTAAAATAAATTGCATCAAATTACTTGTCTAAACATCCTAATGGTGATCAAGCATTAAGACATAGATAGTTTAAAACTGGTGATTAATAATTCAAAGCAAGCGTACATAATTTCATAAGTAAATTGAAATAGCTACATATTCATGATAAGGCTCATGGCCTCGTACTAACAAAAGGAAATTAGTTATGCATAACCATAATTAAAAAGCAAAGTAAATACTATTGAGAAGAAAATGATAGAAAACACCTACTAATTGAAATATGCAAACCACAAGCCTATGTTGAGTTCTCTTGTAGCGTCACGTAGAGAAACCTACCCTAATAAGGTCTTTTAAAACACTAGGAAAAAAAAAAACAAAAGGATAACTTAAAATCACAATCCTAAACTACCTTGGCAATTTGCCAGTCATAAATCCTTTATGTTTCTGGACCAAACCAGCTCTAAAACTGGAACAAGATGTCTTGTTTTAAAGCAGGTCGTCCTTTACAACTTTGTAGAAGGGCCAAACTCTAGAAAACGTCATCTTCATGCCCAAAAGTCATAATTAATCCCAATAGGTCAATCAACCAGCACTGTGTGCTGGTCCTTAAATAATTCACCACGTTCAAACACCTTGGAATAACATGTTGAAATTTTGGTACAACCGTCTTGACAGACTCACGAACGCGCTCCAAATGGAATTACTCAAAAATTTCATTAATAGAGAATAAAAGAAGTTACATTTAATCAGGGGATATAAAACTTTACCTCTCATAAATTCATAATGCAAGAGAAAAGATCACAATAAAAAAGAGGGAAAACATAAACCTGACCCTTATTAAGCAAAAGAAAATACAAGAAAATGGAGGCAAATGACCAAACCCCTATACAACAAAACTTAAAAGGTAAGAACCTGCAAAATAAGTTGCAAAACAAACAAACAAATAAACTATGAAAAAAAAAATCACACATCAATAAGGGGAGACAAACTTGTAAGTTGAGGAGAAATTTTTCAATGTGACTGGTACACGGGGTGGTACATCATGTGTCACTATACAAATGGTGAGATATGTGTGTTAAAAAGTTAATAACTTCAAAAATAAAATTTCCTACCACTTATATAAAAACACTGATGTACCCTCCATGTTCCGGTCACAATGAAAAATTTCTCTAAGTTGAGATGCCTAATATTTGAATGTAGAAAAGGAAGAGTCTCTAAGAGTGGAGTTGCATGCTAAAGAAGTGAAGACGAGGGCAACATTAACTGGCTAATTTTCGACAATCCTTCTCGAATATGTATGAGTGCAACGAGAAATCATGTATTGCAACCGGGAAAAATAATTTTTTCAATGAGTCTAAAGCCGCCAATGAGGAGAAAATGAGCTATAATAAGCAAAGTAAGAAATCGCAATAGAAGACCGAAAAATGCACGTCATCTTTACCTTTAAATTTGGTACGTAGGATGAAGCATAAACAAATATACTTTTAGTGTTGTAATTTCAATTAATTAATTGGGATAGATCAATTAGAAAGAGATGTCCACTATATATCTCGCGTTGCATATATAATTAGTGTTAGAGTAGCAGTAATTTCCTTTGTTTTCTCTGTTTGTTTTGTGAGAGGAAAAGAGAAAGGGAAAAAGAAAAGTAGGTGGAAAACATGCACCATTGGAGGAGTACTACTAGTAGGACCTTGTTGCCTTAATTAACTCTGTGCCCTATACAGCCAGCATATCAATCCTTCCAACCGTTTTTTGCCCCTTACCCCAACCACCTTAGTCAGATTTTTTTTGGTAAGAAGAGATAATTTCATTAATCCGATATAAGGTTACAGGCCAAAACAAAGGAAGACAAAATAACTCAAATATATTGGGGGGAAATAGATACATAAAAGCACAACCCAATTAAATACAACTAAAACGGAAACCCAAATGCCTAATTTTCGGTCATAGAAAGCAGCGTTCGCCTCCATCACCACCACGAAAGTCTTGCCAGCAGCTACCGAAGCAGCAATACTAGAGAAAATGACTTAGTGGTGAAAACGAATAAGACATCGCATCACAAAAGTACCAAACCCGCAACAAGAAGCACACCACATCTAGATTTCTTCACCAAAGACTCATATCCAAATCTCATTCACTAATTCCTACAAATATATACAAACATAGTAACACATAGATAGAAGGTGAGGCTAAGGGGGTATGTAAAATACCCTTACTTTGGCCCAAGTCGCAGTACACTTGGCCTTGAGGGAAATCCGGCAAGCCGTTTTTTTTTTGTTGGGGGGTGTGTGCGGGGGGAAGACACTGAGGGAGGGAAATAAATCTGGCAACCATATTTGGCCAGGAGTCTGCTGATCAGAGCAAAGGATGGGGTGGGATGGTTTATGGGGAAGGGAGGAAGAGGGGAAAAGTGAGGGGAGATGGAGTTTTGGGTTTGGAAAAGAACGGTTAGAGGAGAGGGAAGGGTGGAGAGGAGGGACATGAAGCCCAAAAGTGAGATAAACTCACGAGAAAATTTGGGACAAAGCTCAAGGAAGTTGAGAAAAATCTCAGGAGAAAATTGAAAAAAGAGAGAAGAGGATTAGGAAAAAGAGAGAAAGAGGAGAACAAAAAACTTAAACAAGGATAGCCATCGGCACCCAAGCCAAAGGCTGGGGCCGGCGACGAAGGAGATTGCAAGATGCGGCAATGCCTCCCACGCCAGTATCCTTGTGGGACATTTTTTCACGTAATTACTTTCTAAATTACATAGTACTAATAAAAATATTTTTTCTAACAGTCATAAACGTTTTCTAATAGCCAAAGATGCTTCTATTTTCTTTGGTTGAAAAACTTAGAAGCATTTTAGAAGCTAAATGCTTCTTCATATTCCCAAGTGCTTTTTAGGTTGCACTTGGATTTTTTTTATTTTTTATTGTTGATAATTATAGGTTTTAGGGGCTTTTAGATCTAGGTCCAAAAACGTAGGTAGTTTTTGGGACTGAGTCCAATTATTCAATTACATATTTTGATATCAATTTTGCCCCTTCAGATAAAAATATTTAAATTCTTTAATTTTTTTTTATCATTTATTCTGTTTTTAAATTTTGAATATTTAAATACTCAAACTAAAATATTATCTAGTAACTACCTGCTATTTATGAAGAAAACAAAACCAATATAATCTAGTAACTACCTACCTATTGTATAGGAAGAAAAATGTTTTTATACCTACAAAGCAAATATAATCTACCTACAAAACAAAAATAAACTACCTATTGTATTGGAAGAAAAATGCTAGGAACCTATATGGCGAAACATAAAAATATAAATATGATATAATATACCTCCATTAAAGGAACGAATTTGGAGGGAAGAACACAAAAATATCACCCATGAAAGGAAGAGACAAAAAAGAGGAGGATTGATAGAGAGAATTGTTTGGAAGAAGGAAAAAAGGTGGGATGAAATGGACTAGGGGTTGAGGTGATTATATGGCTATAACTAATCCTACAATTAAGGGCTTAGTTAAATGACAAATAATCTCATAATTAAGAAATTTTGTGTATATATAACAATTCATAAGCCTAATGGGTAAATATGGTACAAACCTCAAATAAGCATACATGGAATCTTAATTATTTGACCTATTTCAACGAAGTGGACTAATTCTACTAGTGGCTCACAAAATTGGATCTATAGCTAGTTATCCCTAGGTTTTATAGATAATAAAAGCATTTATAGTATATATGTTTATGAGTAAAAGTAATAATGCACAATTATACGTTTTAATTTTCTACATGACCGACTTATAATATCAAATTCAAAAATAAATAATGATAATTTTTTGTTACATTGTGACTAAAGGAACGGAATTGTGACATCTTTTGAGCTTCAAGTCACATGCTCCTCAACTTTGTCCATTATTCACTAGACATTCAATTATGGGCATTGTAGTTAGCGATCATGTATTCGACGAAAAAAAAAATGTTACTGATGACGTAAGCTTGGCCATTGCCAATGAAACATACTTGTTTTCAGTCAGTAGCAGGACTCGAAGGTAACTCAAAAGTTTCAAAAATTATACTTATTTTTGAGTCCTGCTACTTCGTTGATTCATTTTCGTGCCAATTCATAGAAGTTGATGAATTATATAACATGTTAGTTATTTATAGCTCCAGTTCTCTAGCTTTAGCATACTAATTAATTGAAGAGTAACTTTTTTTCCAAGATTACTCTTACAAAAAATTAGACAAGTTTAAAATTATTAAGACATCTAATTGTAGTAAGAAAAACAAACGAATACGATTTTTTAAAGAAAAATATGGCTATCATTTAATCTAATGACAAATAGTATCGAATTAGGGTGATTTCTGGAAGCATAGACTTTTAGAGAAAATCTAAAAGATTGAACGATTCATATCCCTCACCAGAGGGAGTCTATATAAAAGACCGTAAACCCTAAACCAAGTTATGCAAATAAATGTACTTAGTAGCTATGCATGGAGTGGGTGCTTGGTCATATATTTAAGCTTACATGTGCAAGCATACAGGTGCACTAAACAATGCCCCCACACGTACTCACTTCCTCAATCCAACTTCCCACGTGTCAAAGTTGAAGTTGCCCTTCACGACACGTACGTACAGCATGGGATGAAAACTAACAATTCAAATATTCAAATCTTCTCAAAAGAAAAACCCTTATCCACTTTAAATCCAAATTCCAATCCCTCCACCGCTCCACCACACACTCACTCTCTCTCTCTCTCTCTCTCTCTCTCTCTCTCTCTATAAAGATGTCTTCTTCTTTTGGATCTCTGATCTGATAGAGACTGAGAGACCAATAGTAGGGTCGTCAAAAACTCACAATATATACATATATGGGTTTGAGAGTCGTTTACGGGCTGCTGTTCCTGTCCTTATCGTGTGCCTGCATCATGCTCATTCACCTCATGCTCCACCCAGTATTCTACTACACCACCTGAGATACTCTCAGAAGTGACAAGTTGGAGCTGCAGGTGAAACATGGGTTAACCACAAGATTCATACTTTCGGATTTGTTTTGTAGTAGTTATACTTCAAAATTCCATTTGGTTTTATATTTGTTTATTGATTCATGTGTGTTGTAATGGTATTGTTATAGATTGTATATTTATGAAGAGTAGTGTTTGGTAGGCATATGTGTTGTAAGTGAGAATGAACAAGAGAAGTTCTCTCTTCCAGTCAAAAGATATAATCTCTGTAGCGTAACTCGGCAAATGCAAGTTTGTCACGGGTCAAAAAGTACTAACACCCTGTTTAATACAATATCTCTCGATGAATTGTGTTTTGTGTGTTTGTTGAATTGGAGTGAATTGTGTGATGTAATGTCGCAGGCAATTATTCTAAGCTACTGGCTTGATTATTATAATTTATCTACTTTTATATTCATGTAGATTGTTTTTTTAGCGATCCATTTCATCTGAGTTTGATTTTCTCCAATGTAATAGAAAACATGTAGATCATTTAGTTGTATGTTTTCAATTTTATAATGATGTGGTAGCTGTTTTTCATACTACGTATATATATATATATATATATATCGGTTCTACTTGGCGTGAAACCTGCCGTACTAAGGCAGTCTCACCCACATACTGTAGTTCCAACGGTTCATTGGAAACTTTGGAATATTTTTAGGGGAATTATGAAGTTATTGGACCTTTCTTGCCAAATAAAAGACTGATGGCACCCAAGCTAATATATGCAGAATTATATGTTCCCCCTTTCAAGTTGCTTCATTATATGATTAGAAAAGTTGATTTTAATAGCGGCTACGACAACATCTCCAATTCATCATATATGCAGGAACGCATGGAAACATTGATTTGCCAAGGAGAAGAGAAACGAGAAATGTGCCAGAATTATGTGATCGAAAAGCACCAATCATAAAAACTGCAACATCATCATGTGTCTTCTAAAAAGTTATGTACTGCTTACCATGTTAAGACGGTTATAGTATATGTATTATAAAATTTCAAAATGTATGTACGTCCATGTATAAATGTATATACTGTATAGTAAGTTGGTGTTTTAAGAGAATGTATAATTTAATGGAGTATTAAGACGTATACAAAAATAAGAGTATTTTTAACAAAATATGTGTGCGTAAGTGTATAATACACATATAAATAACTCTGTAAATTTGCCAACTAGGCTTCTTTACACGAGAATTCAATTAATAAGTTGGTAAGCAGTGGTAAAGCCATGATTTTTATGATAACGAGGTCATGATTTCGACAAAAAAAATTCACTGCACCATTCTATTGAGCTTTTGGTGGGCACTTATCAAAATCACTTACATTTGTCAAAAGCTTGTAATGACATTTATCGTTCGTTGTTGTTTTTTCTAGCATCTACATCTGTCAATGTGCGTTCAGGCTAGCAGATTGTTAAGACCTGTCTACCAAGACTTTTTGTGTGAAACATTACGTCAAACATGTGGTGCCCACCAAAAAGGAGAAGGAAGACACGTGAAAGAAAGAAGAAAATTGGAGAAGAAGAAGCAATAATAGGTTGTAATTCAATGTCGTTCACTCACTTTTTAGTTGGGGAAGATACATTTATCAACAAATATACGCGGGTTTAGGAAGTTGTTGAGATCATGAGCAGTCATTGACTCCAACGTAGCTCCACTACTGCTGGTAAGTGATGTATATTGATTGATAATTTCACATTTGTTTGGATGTTGGTTGTAGACCTTATTTTTCACATTATAAGTGATGTTTTAACAACATTTTACACCATAAGGTCAGGACTTGGGTTAAGCCACATAACGCGTCTGTCATAATATTGTGGTATCGAACTCATATGAAGAACTCAAACTTAAAATCTCTTACTTACAAGTAAAAAGAAATACAATTACATCATAACAATAGTGGCTGGTATATTAAAAGTATGCTCTCCTTTGGCAATATTATAAAATTGCTACATTTTGCATGAAGGTGCTCTTTGTTCTTTACGGTTTTTGTTTCCACGTGGTTTACTAAGTCAGTATTTTTTTAATTCTATGGGCATGGCCCTGTTATGTGGCTAGGTCTCATCCATAGATTAATTAAGTTCCACTTGACCTAAAACAAAAACATACAAAAGATGGCATATTATTCTAACTCGATTTTTTCTTTAGCAAACCACATAATACATAAGAATTGGGCACGTTGTCTGTCCAAATTTAATAAATTTGTTTGTGGGAAACATGTTATAAGGATGTGGATTCTCTAGTCTATACACACTGTGCGATGAAAAGGTCACAATACAACTAAATTACTTAATAATTATTGTTTCGAAAAAAGAAAAAATTGAATTTAAGAATAATAAATACCATACATGACCTAAAAATGTTTTTAAAAAAAGGCTCTGTGCTCCTGATAAAACCCACCTCAGATATCCTGTATTGTTCAATGCAAAACCATGTCATAACCTTTCTTTTTGATATAGCTAGTCTCACAAATGCTTAAAAATCCCTTTGTAAAGAAAGATATGGAATGAAGTATCGTTGGCAATGACCCTTGAGATTTTTAGTGCACTAGTGTTTGGAAAACTTTTGGCTTCTTGTGGATTATGGTAATGAGCAGTAGAAGAAAAAAATTATCTATCATGATGGATGCCCGTGATAGATTGCAATTCACTATGGGCATTGTGCCCGTTAGTAATCTGACGTGATAAAAGGTTTTAGTTTCTACTACGGGCTATACCCGTTGTCAAATATAATTTAACGAAACACCATGTGCACTTGGCCGTTGTGGATTACAAATTACCACGGCCAATGCCAGGTATAAAAAAAAATTCCAAAAAATAAATAATAAAAAATAAATCATTTAAGAAATATATACAGGCCCTTTATTTAAAGGAATCCCCATTTTTTGTTAAAAATGAGGACTAGTTGTGAGAACTACGCTTTTAATTGAGTTCAAAGAAACTGACGAACACTATGTTCTAAGAAACATTGAAATTTCATCATGACAATCAAACAAGTAAATGAGTTCAGATTGAATTGATTTTTTTTTTGTAAGGATGATCTATGAATGAACACTTGAAAAATAGACGGTTTAGGTTGTTGAAGTTCGATGTATAATGAACGCCACAATTAATTCCCATATGTATAAATATTTATATAAAAATTTGCACATAAGGGTACTTTTTAAATTGGTTAACAACCATGTAATGATGTAAGTGAATACGCATCTCTTAGTTCAAACCCATGTTATTTCAATGAACCAAGTCTGTCTCTGAACCTTATGTATCTACACGCAAATTAAAAGACCATTGGTCGTCGTATGGTAGAAAGCCGGTCGTTCTTGTATTAAGAAGCAAATATTTCATGATAGTTAACCAAAAAAAAAATGTTGATGATAGTCTTTGATCCAAATTAAACCTTTCGATTCTTCAGAAAAAGAAGTATGAAACTATGAAATTTATCAAACCTATTAGCCATGTAGTGCTCGGGCGTTCTTCCTTCTATTATATAAGAAGTTACGACTTTGTTGGTTAGCCCTAACGGCGAGGTGTGGCTGGGAACGTCAAGAGTTTGTTTCCCTTCTATTATAAAAAATTGGGTTTTTATCACAAATAATCTTTAAAATTAACCCATGCCATCAAGATGATCCATAAAAATAGGTGTTGCATATCAATGTGGTTCTTCTGTAACAATTCTATTAAAAAATTTGTTAGGAGAAAACCCAGGCCCAAGTCGTGAGCCCAAAAACCAGAACCAATCCCAGTTTTGGGTGCTCCGGGAAACTAACAAAGTCGTCCGACGACGTTTGTGTTTGCGAAGCCAAGTCTGTAGTTCAAGGCCAATATGATGGAGGTATCTCGTCATCAGTGATTCAGTGGGCAGCTTGTTCGTGGGAATCGTGCCCTAAGGCGGTAGCCAGCCTCTGGTTTTCTGGATTGGTGTCGTCAGGGACGATGCCCAGCAATGAAGGCGGCGTGCAGGCCGTCGTGAGTCTATAAATTGCAGATTGCCAACCACGACGTACTGTCTTAGCGCGACTTCAGGTCAGCATGGCTTCAGTACAGGGAGTTTGGTGACGAGGTCTACAAGGGGGAAGACAACTAAAAGTCTTCGTCTCTTTGTGCGGGGGCGGGAGCTGCTGACTAAACTAGCTAGCGGCTTGGCTCGGCTTAAGCATGGTTTCAAGTCGTCGTTTCAGCGTGATATAGGGTTTGAAAACTCTTTTTTCCCTTTTTTTTCTTTGTTTATTCACATATATTCAATTTAAATAATATATAATGGTATGTTATGAATATAATACAAACACAATTTTAGCAGAATCTATAATTCGTTCGCAAAAAGCTGTGTTCATGAATTACGGTGAAGGTTCGTGCGATCAGATTGAAAAAAATATCGACAATTAAGACTATTTTAGTAGAACCTGGATTGCGATGATGAATATTGCGAACGAGTTTGTAGGAGTTCTTCCTTCTGATTTCAAATGCCCATCTTCAAAGCATTGTATCTCCTTCAACACAAAAAACAAATTGAATCAATAGCATGTATATTAATTCAATAAAGTCAGAAGTTATTCAAATAAGAGTAATTAAAACGTAATACTTCCCTGATTAAAGATAGCCAATTCTCTTCAACACAACGTTAAGAGCGTGCTGATAACTTGTTACGAACTATTTTAGAGAAGGAGAGGGACGACAGAAGGGAAGAAAGAAGAAGAATAAGTTTGAGAAATTTTATATGTTATTCCCAGACCTTGTGCCTTTATTTATAGCAAACTGAGGAGGATTTCTTGCCTTGCAAGTAATACAATCCTAAAGTAGAAAGATCTTTTGGTATTCTAAATACAATCTACTGATAATTTACTCAATCACGCACATGATAAAAGTATAATCACAACAAATAGTTGTGGTGAGTTTGCTTCACTGTAGCCACGGAGAGGGTGAAATTCCTCATAACCTCTCCAGAACCACAATCGATGGATAACCATGGTTTGCCACCAATTGTCCCCCTTTTTTCTGAAAAGGAACAAATAGTTATTTTTTCTGTTCAATTCTTAAAAAAACAAAACAACAAGACATCTCTCTAGATATAAGAGGCATTTAGATCTGTGTCCAAAAAATTAGCATGCTATTAGGTTAAGACCAATGTTACCTTTTCTTCACTTTATTTATTTTGTATACTCATTTTTTTTTTTTTAATATTAGAGATAATTAAAATCTTTTAAGTTCATGCATTTTTTGTATCTTTGAATTTTGAATGTGGGACCATAATTTTTTGTGCCCATGACATGTGACACTCAAGGTGATTAGCCGAAAGCCCTCGAAGTGAGATCGGAGCTATATAGGTATTTCAGATCGGGCTACGACAGACCAAGGTAGTTCGGCATAGTTTCATTAGCTCTAAGCACATTAAAAATATTATTTTTCTCCAAAGTAAGGTTACTCCAATTCAAGTCAAATTAGGGTATCTTGGGATTATGCAACGTAATCATAATTATAGGAGGATTGGATATCTTATCCTAAATTCTCTCCTACAAAATCTCCCAGTTTAATTGAGATTGCTCTCTCAAGATCTCTATAAATAAAATAGCTTGGGTATTTGTCTCTGTAATTAATAAGTCTTTTATGGTGGACATTCCATTGATATTCTCTACGTTAACATAGGGTCACATATTCTATACACACTGTTCATCTACATGTAGACATGGAGAAGCGCTCCTACATGCCCACCATAAGATATTCGTCAATGATGGTTCACAATGTTGTACACATTACACCATTCCTTTTCTAGAACTACACCAGTGATTTGATTCTGCCGTCGTAGAGATATGTAGGCAATCCAATTTGAATAAAATCGCACCCTCAATCAACCTCGTTCTCATTTCGCTGGAGTTCATGGACAATTCTGACTGAATTACGCCTCTATTCATGGATGTGAGCGATTTTGGCTCCAAAGTTATATTGGAAAATTAATATATTACATAAACCCACTTACAGAACATACGACCTAACTTAGGGAATAAATGATGGAATTTAGCACGATTGTCACAGGATCAAACTCTAATGTTATTAGACTATTGATTACTATGTGGTAGTGTCAAGGGAGAAATAGCACACAAAAGGGAAGAAGAGAGTCTGTTTCACATTTGAAAATTTGTCTAGAGGAATGAATAATCCCTTCATAGACTTCATCATACCCTTTTCATAGAGTTGTGAGACTTCTTTGAATGATCTTATCCTTTCATGATCAGACTCATCACTTATAAAAGGGCATAACTCTTATGATAAGTCATACCTCTTATCACACTCTTTGGTTAAGTGTATATCAGTACACCAATCTTATGGTGCACCTCCAAACATCAAATACACACATAGTAAAGCCAACATCATCATGATCATATTCCAACAATAAATACTTAAATAGATAATATACCTATAAGTGAGATATGAAACCTAACTATAAGGTACAAAAACATAATATACTCATAAACAAGACACATTAATCTGCGATACATGTTGATTATCAAAAAAAAAAAAAAAATCTATCATATAAGGAGATAAATTACTTGTGATTTAGGTAGATTATAAAAATAAAAAAATAAAATGGTTTATTTTATTAACACCCCACATATTGTTGAATGTACCCCACAAACTTAATACACCCCATTTACTTTTCCATAATACCCTCACACCCCACACCTCAACATACACCCCACATTTTCTACATATACCCCACACTCTTCATATCTTAAAAAAGAAAAAAAAAATTTAGCCCTCCCCCTTCTCCAGCAAGAACCAGCCACAATTATTCTTCTTCTTCTTCCACGCCATGCCAGGTGTTGAGTAAAGAGTAATATTGATTTGATTAAAAACTTGAGGTCACAACATTTAAAGGAAAGGCCAGTGCTTTAGTTCCTCCATTTCTTTTTGTACGGACTTCAACCCAAGATAAGCAGGACACTGTTGTGAAACCTAAAAGATGCGTACGCAAAAGAAAGGGACAACCTTTTCGAGCTCTCCTCGAAAATATGTGGAAACCATATATCCTTAAAACAAGACTTGCAAATGAGGGCCTTTGTATCGCTTCTCTGAGCCGAACAGCCAACTAATAAGACTAATTAAGGGGTTACTTGATTTGGTATGGAAGATTGATTTGATTGAAGGAATTAGGATCAGAAAGATGGAAACTGCCCAATTAGGAATATGAAAATGGGGACAAAAGTTGGGATTAATTGATTGAATATCAATTATCAATGTGAAGTGTATTTGGGTTTCGATTAAAATTCTCTTATGAATAATTTTTTCAGTCAACGTCTTTGTAGTTTTATTGATTAGGGTCGTGTTCTACATACAATGGAGAGTGAATGATTTTGAGAGTTGAAGAAGATAAATAATATTGGGATGTGTTATTTGAGGTGCAGTTAGAAGTATTTTAATTTTTTTATAATCTTATGAGGTTGAAATAGTCATTGCATATTAAGGCATACAAGTCATTTAACATTAAATTTTAATGTGAGGCGTGTTCAACATTATGTGGGGTGCTAATAAAAAAAGCCAAATAAAATATATGAATGGATTTAGAGGAGGAAGAAGGAGAAAAAATAACATATATGAATGGGGTTTAGAGGAGGAAGAAGAATAAATAACAAAAAGAAAAGAGTAATGCTTCTCGTATCATATTTTATACATTTGTCCCACCTGTGTAATAAAAGTAGAACCCACCAATAAATATGAGTCTCATCTCTATTAGGGACGGGGTACAAATGTGGTATCAAAAATGTGATAAGAGTATCAATTTTAAAATGAAAAACATTAAAAAAAAAAAGATAATTAAATCAAATTCTATAGTATATTTTATTATTAAAGAGATAATTATCGATAATAAATAATCCTAAACTCAAAGAATGAAACTTATTTTAATAAAATGACAATAGTAAATTGGATGATTATTGTTATCCAAAATTTATTTTAAGACTTTTTTTTCTTATTAACTTCGTTTTATTTTAAGACTTTGTACCCAATAAAGAAATGAATCTATTATTTTCCTGGTCACCAAATTTAAAATTTAAGTAGTAACTGACCCATAAGGCTTTTAATTTGCGGTTAACACCAAGAATCCAGATAAAAACAGCAGGTTTGTTAGTTGTTGCCAATTAAAGTTAGACACTTAAGGGCATTGGATAAATACAGGCAGAAAACTAAAAACAATTAACTATTAACAACGATTAATCAATTCAAGTTTTAACCAATGAAAGCAGTTAAGCCGTCTTTTTATTACTGGGTCTTACAATGGGTCTTACAATTTTAGGCAATCCAAAACCCCTTTTTTTCTCTTTCTCTCACTATATATGCAATCTTCCACCAACTTTCATTCCTCACCAGTTTCTTATTTTTCTCCCTTTTGTAATTGTCCTTGTTGGTGCAAGAAAATGTTCATGATAGTGTTTGATTCGAATTAAACTTTTTGATTTTAGAGAGGGAAAGAGTGAGGAGAGAGAGATGGATAACTCTATTGGTGCAGGGTTCATGGCTGTTTTTGCTGTATCCGGAAGCGTGGTTCTTCTTGCCCACCAAGTCCACAAACGACTTCTCTCTGATTTCATGAAGAATATTGAATCTGAATTAGGTGGTTTCCTCTCTCCCCACAAAAGATCGGCCCCTGGTAAGTCAACTTTCTCTAATTTTCTCGTGCTTAATTGTAGCAATGCGTCCTGAACTTTGTGACCCCTTTTGCACAAAACCGAAAGTCTAAAATTCAATTTTTGTTATTTTTTGATGTACTTAGAAGGATCTGAGAAAGTGCAAACCAAGAAGAGTGTTAGATTTGCAGAGGATGTTGTGGAACCATCATCAAACAACAAAGAGTTCCGCAAGAGGAGATGCAGTAATACTTTAAAGCAGGCCAAAGAGGGTTATGGGAATTATAAAATGGAGGACAACACCATGCCGCTCAACAGGCAAGCTCTTTACAAGGGGATCATTGAATTTAAGGCCTTCAAGGGCACACATGTATATTAAAGAATAACTGTTGTTGGTTTTGAGTCATCCATGTCTTTCAATTTGTAAATACATGATTCATACAACCGATCTCACTTAGTATAATGAAGTTTGGTTGTTGTTGTATTTCCCTTCCTAAAAGAAATAATGAGAGGGTTTGGAAGAAGTTTGCGGCGAGGGCATGTGTATATATTTTCCTTCTCAAAATTACTCATCATGTAATCTCTATATGATGAAGAAATTGTGAAACGAAAATATATATGTTCCGCTGTACTAAAGATTTTGTAATCCATAGATTTAGTTCCATGGATGTGAAAAGTCTTTTAGGTGGTGTGGGAGTAGGAAGAAGTAACTCCTTTTGTTTGAATAAAAGGGTAATTTGGCTGTTCATAGTTGACCAAAACCTAGGAAATATCAAAGATGCTTCCATAGAAAGACTGGCATCTACTGCAGGACTCAGTCTTTGCTTGTATATTTACGCTGTAATGTTTCTGTATCTTGTACATAAAATGATGGAAATAATACAGTCAGTCTGCAGGTTTTTTATAACTTTAGTGTCCCTGGTGATTTTGTAGTTTAATTTTCTTTTATACGGAGCAATGTTCTCTTGTCAAACTTATATTTTTAGACTAAATTTGGATTGCAAATTAAAATAATTTCACATGTTGACAAATGGTATGGTACGAGAACACTTCCGTTTATATAATAATGTGAATCGAAGGGCTATAAATTCATGAAAACAATTTTCTTTTTAAATAATAAAATGTATGAATTGATCATTCATGATTCTAAAATATGTTGCTTAAGGAAAATAGCTACACATATTTAGGAAAATCAAAAAGTTATTTCACACACTATAATAACAGGAAAATACAACAAAGATTCAAAGGATTATACATGCATTCAGATTACCGAGGGGGATGAATAGGAATCTTTATTTTCTCTCTAAACTTTCTTATTCAGATAGATCATTGTTTTGGACTCTAGGGCTAAGTAAACGAGGATTAGATTGTAATTAACAACTCATTATATTTAAGGTATGTTGAAAGAATATATAAAAAATTGTATCCAATTTGAAAACGAAGGATGATTTACCGAATAAGAAAATTTACTCCTTCAATCTACCGAGAATTTATAAGATTAAGACTTTGAATGTAACTCGAAACTCAACTTAAGTCGGATGGATAATGCAAATCCTCTTGTTCTTGATTGTGATTAATCCCTAAAATAAAAAGAGTGGGTTTACAATCTTGATCTCGTTGAACTAGTTTTTCCCCAACACAAGATGCACAGGTACAAATAAAAATTTGAATCAACTATCAAATGAGCAGAGATGAAGATCACAGAACAAAACTACAAAGAATCTAGAGAGAGAAAGAGAAATCTTTCTGTGTATTTTTCATTAACCTCCAATGTAACAATATAATACTATTTATACTATTGACTTTGCCTACATACTAAGCTAACTGAATTACATAATTTTCTGACAAGTGTCACCATCTGAGACTTGAGCTGAGTTCTTTATATCTTTACATCCCCCCTCAATCTCATGCTTATGGGAACTAAGCATGAGATTGAAACAATGATGAACAAACAATGAATTAAAAAGACCTTTTGTTAGAATATTAGCAAATTGCTCTTTTGATGAGACATGATAGGATTAAAAGCACACCACAAAGTAGCACACAAATGTCTTATTGATTTTCTTTATTAACACTAAGATTTGTCAATTGTAGCATATGAAAATAAGGGTCTTTCCCGCAGAAGATTGTTTTATCTAACTACCTAAAATGTCACAAAAACTGGGATGCTGTTCCTACTGACCAGCCATCGAAAAATAATTATTAGACTGACTTACACTTATCTAAAGTCTACGAAATTTTATATGCATACACTAGACACACAGAACTACACTCACACAATTTTTTGGGATTTTTGGAGTTGATTTGCTATTAAATTAAATCGAACAAAAACAGGACAGAAACAGATTTTAAATAATTCACAAATTAAGAAAAACGAGTTAGGGGAATTGCTATCCACCACCAAATAATCATGCAAACATGTTATGTTTCATTCAAATTCCTTCTATTTCTAGATGAAGATGCTCAAGTTGTCTCAATGTTAGAACTCAACCTATTAAACTTTCTTATGTGGTATGTTAAGAGAATGGCGTTTTCAACTTAACTTAATCCCTAACATGCAATCTAGAATGGCATGTTCATAGATTTAACAAGTAGAAATCATTAAAAACGAAAAGAGTTTGAGTCATCACAAGGCATCGTAAGTACTAATGTTGTCTTACTTATCCTAGAAATTGGTTCACATGTTAATCGCAATTAACAAGTATTACCCTAGAACATATTTAGGTCCTCATTTGATGAGGGCAGACACACACATATTCATAGCATTAGAATCCTAGATATGCTTACTAAGTATGCATATGTAGAAAATACCTAAAGAATTCATCAATGAGATAAGTAGTGAACCAATTTTCATCAATTCATAAAAGTAATTTAAACGAAATGTCATAACAAACTTGCAATCATAGTAGGGGCTTCAAACAGCCCCTAACTACCAAAAATTTAGTTACACAATCCTTAAGTTAAAGCAAATGATAGACATGAGTTTGAGAAAATAGAACCGAAAGAAATCGACTGAGGTCTCCTTTTTCCTTCCTTCCCCAATGCTACTTTTAAACCAATTCTTGCTGCATCATTTTCTTCTCCTTAACTCACTCACTAATAGTCATTTAGTGATGACAATAAGTGAGAGGAAATGGTAAAACAATTGTAACTCCTTGGGTAGCCTTTATGCCAATTACTCCCTCTTAATCTTCATCTTTAATTCCATTTCCTCTGATATTTGAATAGGTGTCAGCTGGTTTGTTCTTAACTGCATCAGTTTTGGCTGCTAGATTTATTGGATTTATTGTCTTCAATGCTTTCTTGTCAGTTACAAACTGCTCAGCCACTTGGGAACCCTTCACTGTTAAAACAGCCATAACTTCTTCTAGAAAAATGATATGAACAATCCGCGAAATGCTCCAGAAAATAGACATCTGTAGCTTTCCAAGCATATAAGGCTCATTCTCTAATTCATTCTGAGCTATCCGCAACTTGCTTCCAATTTCAGCTGACCTGCACAGGCAGTTTTGACGAATTTGTTACTTAAAATCCCACTTGTGCTATTTTTTTTTCTTTGCTTGACAAATCCTACAAAACACAAAAACAAAGTAAATAGCTAAAAAATATAAGGAACTAATTAAGAAAAGACAAGTAAATTTGATGTAAAATATATATAAATATGAGCTTATCAAGACATGTTGCACATTGAGATCCCCTCTGATGACTCTTTCACGAAGAAAATGGTAGTTGATCTCAATGTGTTTAACTCGAGAGTAGAAAACAGGATTGGAGGATAAAGCAATAGCTGAAATACTGTCATAGTAGATCATTGGTGCTATAAACAAAGGAACTTGAAGATCATAAAGAAGTTGTCGAATCCAAGACAACTCTGTAGCAGCAATAGCTAAAGCCCTATATTCGGCTTCAGTAGAAGATTTGGACACTGTGTGTTGCTTCTTCGAAGCCCAGGAGATATGACTTGAACCAAGATAGACTACATAACCAGAAGTGGACCTACGATCATTAGGATCTTCTGCCCAATCAACATCACTATAGGCTTAAAGATGCAATTTTCCAAGCTGAAAATGAATACCATAGTTGATTGTCCCATTAAGATATCGCAAAATCCGCTTAACTGCAACAACATGACATTCCACAAGTTGTTGCATAAACTGACAACACTGATTGATAGCAAATGCAGTATCTAGTCTGGTGAATGTCAGATATTGCAAAACACCAACAATGCTTCTGTATTGTTCTAGATATTTGTAAGGCTTACCATCATCCTTGATCAACCTATGTGAGGGAAGCCATAGAGTAACACAGGATTTGGAGTCATGCATATCCATTTTGTGCAACAAATCTTAAGTATACTTGGTCTGGGAAACAAACAGTTTAGAAGAGTGATATGAAATTTGCAAACCCAGAAAATAATGCAACTGACCCAAGTCCTTCATGTCAAATTCCTTAGTGAGAGCCAATATAACATCAGAAATAGAGATGAATCACTACCAGTAATGATGATATCATCAACATAAAGCAACAATACTACTATACCAACTGAAGAAGTCTGAACAAACAAAGATGGGTCTACAAAAGAAGCCATGAACCCCAAGCCAGGTAGAAAGCTAGTAAACTTTTCATTCCAGGCTCTAGGAGACTGTTTTAACCCATATAATGATTTGTGCAACTTGCAGACATAATTTGAAGGATATGTAGTACTAACAAAGCCAGGAGGTTGAGCCATGTACACTTTTTCATTAAGAACACCATGGAGAAAGGCATTCTTGACATCTAATTGTCTTGAAGGCCATTGAAATTGTGCAGCAAGTGCTAAGATCAACCTGACAGTAGTGGGTTTTACCACTGGACTGAATGTCTCATTATAATCAATGCCCTACTCTTGGCTATACCCTTTTGCAACTAACCTAGCCTTATGTCGAGCTATGGAACCATCATGATTCTTTTTAAGTCTATAAACCCATTTGCAGCCAACCAAATTTTTCTCTAGAGGAAGGGGAACTAGAGTCTAGATTTGTTGAGCATGAAAAAAATTGATCTCTTCTTGCATATCAGCCTGCTACTTTACTACTTTACAGGTAGATTTGAACGAACTTGGTTCAATAAGAGAAGGATCCCCAGAAGTAACAGAAATTGAAAAAGCTTTTCTCTTGGATATCCCACTTTTAGAGCGAGTTTGCATAGGGTGTAAGTTAATCGAAGGAACTTGATGAACAACATGTAGACTTTCAGGTAAGAAGTCAGGATCCACAGGGATAGGTGACTGTGCAGTAGCAGGTGACATTGGTATGGGATTAGAGGTTCTCAAGGACTCTGAGGCACTAGGAAGTGTTTGCAAAGAATCTGAGGCACTAGGAGTTGAAGACAAAGATTATGAGGCACTAGGGGTTAAGGAGAGAGGTGATGTTGATGATGATGAATAAGGAATAACGGTGTTGTGTATGGTAACCTGTGCAGGTGTAATAGATGGTGAAGGAGGTGTAAGACTCTGTGAAATAGGCTTAATTAATGTCAAGGTAGGATATGGAAAACTAGACTCATCAAATAAGACATGTCCAGACACATAAAGTCTTCCCAAAGGAGGATTATAACATATATAACCCTTGTATTGACCAGCATAGCCTAGGAAAACACACTGAGCAGTTTTAGACTGTAATTTGTGAGAATTATATTGCTTAAGAAGAGGAAAACAAGAACACCCAAAAACCTTTAAATGTGTTAAAGATGGTGGTTTACTAAACAAACAGGTATAAGGAGACTGCATAAACAGGTTTTGGCATGGCATTCTGTTAATTAAATAAACAGAAGTAGCACAAGCATGAAACCAAAATTGGGAAGATAGTTTGGCAGTTTGAAGTAGGGTAATGGCAGTCTCAACAATGTGCCTATGCTTTCTCTCAGCAA